ATGAAGAATCAGCAGCCCCCGTTGTGGGTGGTTAGAGATAGAAGGGAGCAGAGGCAGGGGCTGCGTGGGCCCCCCAAGCCCCCCAGCCTCCTTGGAGCTTCTAGGAAGGCGATGCCAGGGCTGAGTTCTTTGGGGACCAGTAGGAATGAGTGGTCAAAGGAGTCAGGATTGCCAGCCCGCGGGCCCTGCTCCTGCAAACACTGGGGGAGGCCTGATGTGTCAGTGCACCGTTCACAGAAGCGCGTGGTCTTTAGTGGGGCGGGAGCAGGGCCTGAGATTGGATTGGCAGGGTTGGGGCTGGTGAGGTGGCCAGGGGCAGAAGAGGGCCCTGATAGCAGTGTGCACAACCCCCGACGGGCCAGGGGAGCTGAGTGGAGCAGTCCTCAGACCCAGCGGTCGGATCTGAGGCTGCTGGGGGCAGATCAGCTAGGAGCGGGCCCAGTAGAGACTGGAGGGCAGCCGGGCAGGTAGACAGCAGAGTGGACAGAAAGTGACCAGCGCTGGAGTCCCCAAGCGTGGTGGGACTGCTGCGGGGACTTTGCGCCCAGGTCCCTGGCCACACTTTTGATTCCTGCTGCTCAGATCTAGAGCCCCTAGGCCTGGTTGGTGAGCATTTAATGAGAATCCTTACACAGGGCTGGAGTCGGGCCGTGACAGGTAGGTGCTCACACATCAGCTGGGGTTCTAACGGGCAGTTTGTGCTGGTTCTTGCCTGGAAAAGGAACCCTGTTAGTGTGGGATCATTATCCCCCATTTAACAGATAAGGAAACTGAAGCCCTTGCCTAAGATCACACTGTACTGCAGCGAGTGGTTGAGTTAGGTGACCCAAGACTCTGCTACCTGTCTGCAGGGGAGGCACCACCCCAGCTCTCACCCAACCCCGGAGCTAATCAGACACAGGCCTCAACCTCCCCCTAGCCAGGCTGCCCAGTGGTCACTGTCCCTGGTCAGGCGCATGCCCCTGTAGGGCTCATGGGCCGCATTCCCACTTGGTGCTCAGGGATTCTGGGAGTGTCTGCTGGAGGCTGAGGGATGTGGGGACAGTGGGTCAAAGTGAGGCTCAGAGGCCACATGCCCACCGAAGTCCCACTGTGGCCCCTTGGCTGAGGTGAGGCAGGGGTTTCCGTGGGAGTGCACAGGAGCCTCTGGGAAGAGAGCAGCCCCTTGCTGGGGTGTGGTGAGGAGGGGAAGGGGGGCTGGGGGCCCCATGCAAATGAGGGCTGGGACTGCTTTTCCTGGGAAATTGTCATTTGCATGGACACCAAGCTCCCTGGGGCCTGGCAGCAGCTAGAGGCTCCTCGGGTCACAATCCTTACACAGGCAGAGTGCTCACAACCTTGCAGCGTTAAAATATCTCGTCCGTGAAAGCTGGTTCCAGGTATCTGGGTTCTTTATGCCCTTCAGTGGAGTTCTTCGTTTTTCTCCGTGAAAGTTTTTTTTTTTTTTTAAGATTTTATTTATTTATTCATGAGAGAGAGAAAGAGGCAGAGACACAGGCAGAGGGAGAAGCAGGCTGCACACAGGGAGCCCGACGTGGGACTTGATCCCGGGTCTCCAAGATCACGCCCTGGGCCGAAGACAGATGCTCAACCACTGAGCCACCCAGGCGTCCTTCTCCCTCTCCATGAAAGTTTTAAGCTCCCCCCCCCCCACTCTTTTTTTATTTTATTTTATTTTTTTTTTAAATCACGTTTCCTTCCTAAAAGCCTTATGTGTCTGTAAATAGGTATCTATCTGCTGCTGTATTTTCTGGTTGCCTTGTGGGTATTGATTTTCATATGTTGATCTGGTGTCCAGCAACCTTGAACCTCTTGGTTGTTCCAAGAGGTGGTTCTGCATAGAGGTTCATTTCATGTTTGCTAGAAATCTTCCCTCTCCTGTGTCACTGGAATGATCACGTTTTCTTCGGCGGCCTCAATGTTCCCCATCTTTTTTTTTTTTTTAAGATTTTATTTATTCATGAGAGACAAGGGGGTGGGGAGTGCAGAGACACAGGCAGAGGGAGAAGCAGGTCCATGCAGGAGCCCAATGCAGGACTCAATCTTAGATCCCCGGATTATGCCCTGGGCCGAAGGCAGACGCTCAACCGCTGAGCCCCCCCAGGTATCCCAATGCTCCCCGTCTTTTATTCTGAAATGTTTCCTCTACGTTGTTGAGACTCCATCTAACGAGTCAGTTGCCTTTTGTGCTGCTGCCCCCCACCCCCCAATGTTCTCCTTTCTCTCTTTTTTAAATTTAATTTAATTTTATTTATTTGACACAGAGAACGTGCACAAGCAGGGAGAGCAGCAGGCAGAGGGAAAAGCAGACTATCCACTGAGCAGGGAGCCTGATGCGGGACTTGATCCCAGGACCCTGAGCTGAAGGCAGATGTTTAACCGACGGAGCCACCCAGGCGCCCTGTTTCTCTGTTTTTTTAAGCACGCAGCGCTGGAGTCTGGCTGCTGGCTGAATCCGGGGTCGGCGTCAGGGTGTGGCTGGAGGAGGCTCCCTGCGACTGGGTCCGCCACTTCCAGCAAGCCTCGCTGTCTCTGGCTCAGAGGGCCTTCCAACCGGACTAGTTTTGTGATCTAGTTTTTTTAAAAGTCTGGTTGAAGAGCTTTACATTGTAGAGGGAACTAGAGTCACCTCATAGCTTTTTTTTTTGCTTTTTTTTTTTTAATGAAGCTCAATGCCCACCGCAGGGCTTGAACTCACGACCCCGAGATTGAGTCTCGTGTTCCACCGACCGAGCCAGCCAGGCGTCCCCACACCTCATAGCTTGTGCCTGCTGCCTGGTGTTCCCTGGAACAGGTGTACCAGGAGTGGGCACTCAGCAGTCCCTGAGCTGCTGTTGAGCTGCTAGCAGCATTTTCGGGTTCTTAGAAATAGCACCTGGTCCTCCCCATTGGGCGCCACTGGGTCCCAGGCCTGTGTGCCCTCACACCTTGCCTGCAGGTGCCGTCAGCAGGTGGCAGCACCCGCCCCCCAGCCCCCACCCAGGACCCGACCGCTCCTGTCAGCCCGCAGGGGAAGGTGCTGCCCTGGCAGGTGCAGGTGGCATATGTCAGGCCACGGGCCCTTTGTGGCAGTCGTGCCTGTGTTTACACATCTGATTTCTCCAGGCTTCGCTCCCGCTGGAGCTGCCTTTCAAGCTGGGCTCTCACCTGGAGCAGACCGGAGGCTCTCCTGGCTTTCCCTTAGGAAACCGGAACAGCCCCCTTGACACACATTCTGGGCACTCAATCTCTAGAACAACGCTGTTCTTCTGTGGTTTCCTTTCCCCAAGGCCAGAGAGCCCAGACCCTCAAATACCTGTCTGCGCCCCCCAGGACATCACAGCGTGTCCATCTCTGACCGCGTGTTGAGAGTAACCTGTCTAGACTCGCCCTGAGACACCTGGGGGATGCGTGCCCACGAGCCCACCCTGCACCCCGCCCTGGGCCTCCCGTCCCCACTCCTGATGCTGAAAGCAAGTTGTGTGTGCTTTTGCCAAACTCGGGGTCCCCTGGAGGCTGCCCGTGTACGTCCTGCTGACAGCTGATCCGCTTCAGGGCAGAACACCGTCCATGCTGGGCTGGGGACTGGGGACACGTGGCTCTGTCCCTTCTTGGCTTAATCATGAGCTTCTCCAAGCTCCCAGTGTCATCTTAATTAAATACCTACCTGGAAGGTTAGGGACCCAACAAGCTACCAAGAGGGTTCTCTTTGCAACCAGCAGGCTAATGTGAAGACTTAGAAAATTTCTTAAAACCCAGGACATTATTGTAAGATGGGGGGTTGAGGTGCAAAGACCTTAAGGGTCGGTGTCCCATCCCTCAGCATCACACAGATACGAAGTGACGGAGCTGGGACTTGAACTCGGGTCCTTGAGTTCCACATTCTTCACCATTATATTCCGGACCTACGATGTGGGGTGAATTGTGGTGAATGAGGTCATGAGATCCCACCGGCTATCCCGAGGGGGGACGTAGACACTTTAAGATGTGGGAATCCATGGTCATAATGGGAGGGCCTCTGGCTACAAGGAACTGGAAACTCAATGAAGGGTGATTTGAATGAATTGGGTTTTATTTTTCCTGCACAATTAGGCTGGCTGTGGCATGTATTTTTGCAAGTGTTTAAGAATGCCATCAGAGAGGCAGGCTCTGTCCCTCTCTCCTCTGTCCTTGGCATGTTGTTTAATTTTTTTTTAAGATTTTATTTATTCATGAGAAACAGAGAGATAGAGAGGTAGAGATACAGGCAGAGGGACACCTGGGTGGCTCAGTGGGGGACACCTGGGTGGTTTAGCGGTTGAGCATCCGCCTTCGGCCCAGGGCGTGATCCTGGAGTCCCGGGATCGAGTCCCACATAGGGCTCTCTGCATGGAGTCTGCTTCTCCCTCTGCCTGTGTCTCTGCCTCTCTCTCATAAATAAATAAAATCTTTTTTTTTTTTTTTTTTTAAAGAGACACAGGCAGAGGGAGAAGCAGGCTCCATGCAGGGAACCTGAGGTGGGACTCGACCCCAGGTCTCCGGGATCATGCCCTGGGCTGAAGGTGGTACTAAACCGCTGAGCCACCCAGGCTTGGCCCTCTTTTATTTTATTTTATTTTTTTTTAAGAGAAAAATTGTATTTATTCATGAGACACACAGAGAGGCAGAGACACAGGCAGAGGGAGAAGCAGGCTCCCTGCGGGGAGCCCAGTGTGGGACTTGATCCTGGGACCCCCGGCATCACCCCCTGAGCCACCCAGGCACCCAGCATGTTGGTTATCCTTATGTTGAGCACCACCATGGTGTCATAAAGTGGCTGCTGCCGCTCCAGCCCTCTCTCCTGTGTTGAAGGCAGCAAGGAGGGAGAAGAGCTGCCCTGGCCGAGGCTGCTCCCTTTCCTCCTCCCGCGTCAGAGCTCTGAGACCTCATGGCTCAGAACTGGGGGTCGCACGCCCACCACCGGCTGCAAGGCATGCGGGAGAGTGAGCAGGAGAGTCCCGGCTTCGATGAACAAGGGTTTAGTCTGTGTCTTTCTCCCCCAGAGAAGAAATGTCTCACTCAGGACCCCTCTCCAGGAACCTTTTTCTGAGCACCTTCCTGCAGGAGCATGGCCCGGAAGTTCTGGAGGTTCCGGGTATGACAGATCTCGTGGAGTATTATGACCCTGGGCCCTCCCCTAACAGGTAGGTCCCAGTAACACTCTGTGGGCCCCACCCGCCCCCATCTCTGGTGAGTGAGCTCGGGGGTATGCTTAGGGGAGCAGCCTTCGGGGCTGTCCGGGCAGGGCTCCAGGGCGGAAATTCCCAGGCGTGGTCCGGGAGGCCTGTGCCCGGGCAGGGCGGCCCCTCAGGGAGCAGCCCACAGAGGCCCTCGGCGTCCAGCATATTCCCGGGATGGGCCTTGGCGCTGCCACCAAAATGACTTAAACCCGTGGCTTTAGGACCGGCTGACTCCTGCCCCTCGGTGACGGTGATCAGCTCATCAAGGCCTCTTGATGAGATGGTTCTAATTTTAGAAAATCAGAAGTAGCCCGAGGAAGCCACTCGGCACACAGCGCCTGGCCCGGCTGTCGGGGCGGCGGAGAGGGGATCTTCCCAGGACCGGGCCCAGGTGCTTCCCTTCTGCTTTAGGCCTCAGGATTCTCTTAGTCATTAGGTCCCCAACCTGGGGGTTGGGGCTGCCTGGGACAGAGGTGGGACCTCAACCCCCCCCCCCCAACCTTGATTGCCAGCCAGGCCTTCTCAGCCTCCCACCCGACCTTCCATCATCCCTGGGATGGAGAGCAGGGACCCCGGGGAGACTGGGCAGGCAGCTGGGGCTGAGCTGGGAGCCTGGAAATTCCCAGATGCAATGTGTGGGCAAACCCCTGAGAGCAGGGCTGAAGCCAGCCAGAGGGGAGGGCAGGGGAGGGGAGGATGCTGGATTTGGAGATCAGGTGTGATGGCAGGTACCTCCTTTCCATCCAGGATTCCGGTCAGTGAGAGGAGGGAACTGGAGGGGGTGACAGGTGGTTTCAGGATGGGGGAGCAGGGAACAGGTCCTGGAATCCCTCCCCACAAGGAGGAGGGCAGGTCCGCAGGTCGAGCCCCAGGGAAAGCCAGTCCCAGTGACCCGGTGGGGGCTCAGAGCCCAGCCCCGCCGCCCACCTTTGTCATCTTTCCTGGCAAGCCTCCCGGTGGAGGTCCTCTCCCAGGATTCTCCAGCTTTGGGTTTTCCTTGGAGGAGCAGAGGCGCTAACCGTGTCTCTGCCCTCCCACAAGCGGGGCCTGCGCTACATGGAACCCACCTGGGGATGGGCCCTCGCTGGCCTTTTCTGGAGCAAAGTGGGGGCCAGGGGAGGGGCATGTGAAGGTTCCCTGCCCCCCACCTTGTTCTGTGCCACCCCTTGCCTCCCACAAACCTGGGGCCCTGTGGGCCAGGTGGGCCTGTGTATGGGGGGGTCACCACACGGCCACACCCCTAATTCCCTGTGCCCTCCCCACAGCAACAACCCCGACGATGTGGCCATGCGGCTGGCCTTCATCGGGGACGAGATGGAAGTGAGATGGATGCTTCCCCGCGTTGGCGAGCTGCCCGGGATGGCCATGTACAGGTGGTGCCCCCCCCAGCCCTCCACCTCCTGCCCCACCCCTGCCCCTGGGCCACAGACTAAGCACAACTCAGTGCCTTTCTCTGCCTCTTCATCAAGCCAAGACTGCTTTTCCGAAAGGGTCTTGACTTAAAGTGCTGGTAGGAAGTGGTGAGCTGGGCAAAGCTGTGTGTCCTGCCGGGAGGCATCTGTCCTGAGCACACTGTGTACTTCCACCATTTACCAGCATCTCTGGGTTCTCAAGGTGGGGATGTGGAAACCCTCCCCCTAAGCCAGAGCGACTATGGTCTCCTGGTCCCCAGGGAGGCAGCCTTCTGTTGGGGTGCCTGGGCCTCCATCACAGCAAAGATCCTCCGGAGGGAGGACCGGCAGGTTCTTGGGCCGGTGGGCAGTGAAGCATTTTCCAGAACCCAAGACCAAAACCCCCGGTGGGCCGGTGGGTAGGGGAAGGAAACAGGAAATCAGATGCATTTAGGACCAGAAATGGCCCGTGGAGAGAGAACCTCTGGTGGAGCCACCCAGGGAAGGGGGTAGAGTGGTGTGGGGGGGAGAGGACCCTGCCCTCCTCTCCCCGCGGGGCTCCCCTGAAATAAAGGCCATCTCCGCCCCTGTTCCCTGCAGTAATGGCCCTGCTTCCCTGCCTATTTGTCTTACAGCTTGGCTTTTACCTACAACCAGACAGGCCTGAGAGGTGTTCTTAGAAGTTTCCTGGATGGTCTTGCTAACCTCAGGGAGAACATCCGCATCTGGAGCTTCCTGACCTTCCGGAACAGGGTAAATGAACCGTGAGCTCTGTGACCTTGACTTACCCGCCTGCCTGCGGTGACACCTGCAGCCACAGAGCCGCTGCCCCGCAGGACATGTCCTCGGGTGGCACAGACCGCTCCCCCCCGCCCCCCGTTGTCTTGTGGTGCCTGCTTGCCCTCGTTTCTCCCGGTCTTCAGCTTGGAGACCCCTGGTTTATCAGCTCCATGCTCCAGTTCTTTTTTTCTTTTTTTCAGATTTTATTTACTTATTAATGAGAGACACACACAGAGAGAGGCAGACACACAGGCAGAGGGAGAAGCAGGCTCCGTGCAGGGAGCCCGATGCGGGACTCGATCCCGGGCCTGCAGGATCATGCCCTGGGCTGAAGGCGGCGCTAAACCGCTGAGCCTCCCAGGCTGCCCCCCATCCTATGCTCCAGTTCTCAGGCGTGTTTGCTCCCACACCCATGCTCCGGCTCCCCACCCACCCACCCCCCGGGAGCACCTTCACCAGCCCCGCATGAGGCTCCTCGCTCCTCTGCCCGGCAGGTGCCTCTCCTACTGAGCTGCTTTCCCGACCCTCCTCGTCTGTCCCAGCAGCACCGGGGACCGTCCCTCACCCCAGCTCAGCCCCCACTGGTGCCCACGGCGGCCTGGGTGGGCTTCTCCTCTGCCGCCTCCTGGGCCGTCTCCCCGGCCCACCTGTGCTCTGGCTTCTGGGTGCTGTCCCCACCTGTGAGCTGTGCTGTCTGGAGACGCTCCTGTGTCCCCGCCTCCCTGACCCGCTCTCCAGCACCCTCAGCCACCCTGGTTCACCCCATGCCCCCGAGCACGCGTGGGGGGGCCTGAGCACCCCCGGCCCTGGCTGGAGGTCTCACCTCTCCCGCTCTTCATCTCACAGGTGTCCCCCAACCCGGGGCGCGGGCTGGTGCTGTCGCTGCTGCTGCTGCTGGTGCTGCTACTAGGCTGGGGCCTCCGCCTCCTCCAGTGACACCAGCTGGAGCCGCTGGGGACGGGGCTGGCCTCGCCCCCGCCTGACCACCACCCTGGAGGTGGCCTTACTGGTTTTGTTGTCTTTTTTAACTGTTTTCTGCTGATCCCTTTTTTTATATTTAAACTCCGAGTGCTGGGACACTACTGAGGTTTCATACTAGTTTTTTCTTTCTTTTTTGTAAGAGAAATGAATTCATTATACCTCGGGGGTGGTTACTGGTTAACTGCCCGCGCCACGGCCTGGCTGGGCCGCTCTCCTGGCCTCAGCCCCTGAGGTGGCCTGGGTGCTGTCACTGCTACCACCACCCGGCAGGGAAGGAGCCTGGAGCCTTCCTCCAGCAGCGGGGGGAGTGCTGGCCACACCCCCATGTCGGGGAGGCCCCGGGGCGAAGAGAAAATCTGCTGGAATAGATTTGATGGCTGAGGAGAGCTCAATAAAATGTTGTTTCCAGCTGGTCTCTGGTCCTCTCTGGGGTTTGCCACCCAGCTCTGGCCCCTTGCGGGAGGCTCAAGGGGGAGGGGGAGAGAGAGTGGGCGTGTGCAAGCACCTGTGCGTGATCACACACCTGCAGGCTCTTTCCTGCACCTGCTGTCGTGAAGTTTGGCCCAACACAATCAGGTTTATGCCTTCTCTCGTCGTGCCTGGTGCCTGAATCTACCATTAGGGATTACTTCCTTTGGGCCTTCAGTCTCTTACAGCTGGGCTGCCTGCCCTCCCCAGGTTTGCTCATTCAGCACTCCCCGCTGGACAGTGCAGCCTGCAGGGAGAAGGGGCTAGATGAGGGGCACCCTGGTGAGGGTCCAGCCTGCCCCAGACCTGGGTCCAGTGCTGTTTCTAGACCCAGTCAGGTCCTCTTTCTGGAACTTGGGCTCCAACTGTCCCCTCTTCTCCACCACAGTTCCCCTGTCTCAGATGCCAGCCCTGGGCTGGGCCCCCCCTTGCTCCAGCCCCCTGCCCATGTCCTCTGCAGCTGCCTCTTTGGGGCCTGCCCTCCGCTAGCCCCAGAGCCCATGAGAGCCCATCTGGCATGTGCAGCTACATGCCACCCTTCGGCCAGGCTGGCCAGGTCCCGCGTACTCAGGGCCACCACCAGGCTCCTATGCCACAGCTCTCCAGGCCCCGCCCCTCACGGCTTGGGGCCTGACTACCCGGCCCTTGGGGCAAGGTCAGGCCATCCCAAAACCACCCAGGGCAAGCCAGGGAGTGGCAAGGCCAGATCCAGAGGCACCTCTTCCAGGAAGTCCTCCCTAACCATCTAGCCCCAGCTTGCTCCTAAGCTCTCGGGACAGAACTGCCCACCTGACCATGTAGGTGTAAGATGTGGCCGGGGGTGCCTGCAGCTTCTCAAGGAGCTTGGGCTTCAGTGAGAAGAGGGAAGGGGAATGCTGTTTATGGAGCCCCCTGGTGCAGCTGATGCAGAGGCTTCTCCCTGCAGGAATTTGAGGACCTCCCTCCCCAGGTGTTCTAGGGTTTGCAGCATTCTCCCCAACCATGGATGTCAGGGGAACCCCTACTGTGCTAGGCTTGGGCACAAGTTCCGGGGATGTGAAGACCTGGCCCCTCTAATCATTGTTTTTGGGGGAGGGAAAAAAGCACAGAAGAGCTGTGGGCTGTGTTCTGGAGGCAACAGGACAGGAACGGGCTGGGGTGGATGGGACACAGACCAGGGCTGGCCGGAGGAGCTGCTGTGGAATAGACGAGGGAAGGAGTCACCCAGCTAGTGGGAGTGGCACATACAAAGGCCCTGGGATGGGAGCCCTGGCTGAGCTTGACGGAGGTGTGACTCCCTGTCTTGCCAGTTCATGCCAACCCTGGGGCTGTGAGGAGCTGCCCACAGCTTCTGTGCCACCACAGGAGGTGCCAGCTGCAGCCACTTCACTCATCTGCTCAAAGCAGAGAAGTAAGGGGCTTGACCAGAGGGGCAGTGGGATCCTCTGACCGTCACCGTTGGCCAGTCCAGCCGCGTGGGGCAGTAAGACGCTGAGGCCCACGGGGAGGGGTCACAGTCAAACCCAGTCTGGCTGGTCCACGTGGCAACTTGCACAAGTTGCGGACAGATGCTTAAGCAACAGCGATACCAGAAATCTTGACTGTCCAACCCCAGAAAGGAAAGACTGGAGGCCCATCCCTCCCAGGAAGGGGGCAGGGGTGACGCGGTCACCTCCACACGAGGCCCCCATCTCCTGCGGCTCCTCTGCAGCAGGTCCCAGGGGCAGTGCCTGGACACAGCCCCTATCCCCTGGGGTGGAGGCTGCTGGAAACAGCGAAGCGCCTTCCCAGAGGAGGCGACAAGGCTGCCAGGGCACAAGGGGCCCTATCGCCTTTGCGGTTTCAGAGGCTTTTGATCAAGGCCCTTGGGCCAGTCAAGATTTTTAGGAATGAAGAGGCAAGATCTGTTCTCTTAGGAAGAAGGTGCCCAGGGAGATCCGTTTCTGCCAGGCAGGGAAGCAGCACCCCATTCCAGGCGGACTGAGGGAGGCGAGCTGCTGGAGAGCAACAGGCCCAGGGTCTCCACTGGCACGGGACTCAAATGTGGTGGAAGGTGGGACTCCTGCCTCCAGCACGTGGGAACAATGGCGTGGGCTACTTTCCTCAAGGGGGGCAGGAACTAGCCCAGACCTGCCAAGGAGCAGGATGTAGGATCCACCACCACCCTTAAGGCCCACACCCCAGACCCTGGGCCATAACTCCCCTCAACACCCTATGCCTCTGTCACTCATCCCGACTCAGTCTGCAGGGGCAGGAGGAGGCCCCATCCACCTTGGCCCGGGCTCCCAGGGCTCCTGCACCCCTAGGTTCCCCCTACTAGGCAGCCCCTGCAGTGCAGGCAGAGACGTGGCCAGCTTTCTGGAACCTTCCTTAGGACAGCACCATATGTCCCTCAATTGCTGTGCCTTTGAGTAGGGATGGGCCTGAGAGCGCCATCCTGGGCCCTGAGGTAAAGGGCTGTGCCCATAGAAGCAGCAAGGCCTGCCATGCGGGAACTCACCCTCCACTGCCTCTGCAGCTCCCTTACGTGGGACCGTGGACCATGCTCCTTCGAGCTGAGGGTGGCCCCGTGATCCAGCCTGCAGCACGGCGAGAACAGAAGCCCAGACTGGGGAGCCCGGCCAGTCTCCTCTCAGAGCTTCCTGCTACCACAGCGCTCGGAGAAGGGGGTTCGGACAGGATCCACACTCTAAAGATACTAGCAAGGTTCTTTGTGAATGTTTGAGAACTTCTACAATAGAGTTTGAAGAGATCCTTATTTCGTCACTGAACTCCAAAGAACCCTCCACGTCAGGCCGTGGTGACTGGGTTCCATGGCCCTATGTGCAGGGGCTCGGCCGGGCGGCGGACACACGGGGGCCTGTCCGGGGGTCACAACGCCTGAAGAGCTACCCGCACGGAGTGACCAGGAGCCAGGGCGGCTGCCCGCACCGTGTGTGTAACAGGTCTGCCCAGAGGCCAACGGGGCCCCTGTTGAGAGACACCGTGGAATTAAAAATGAGAAAGCTCCCCGGGATTTGACAGGAGTCTACACAATAGCCACATTTACGGACAGATGCAGAGATTCCGTACTGTGAGGTTTTCCCACGATTGCGGATTAATGACAAAACCCCAAGAAGCTTAGAATTACTTGTTTTTAGTATCAGGGCAGGAGCGGCATCCACAGAGAACCTGCGCTTTGCTCCCAGTGTGGAGCTGGCTGAGAAGCTCTGAGGGCAGCCTGTGCCACAGCAGGTCCCGGGCACACGGGAGACACTCCGCGATCACCGTCTGAGGGGATGCCAGGGGCGTGGGGACACCGAGCGCCCAGCCTCCCCAAACCCTTCCCGCCTTGCTCGGGACCCTCTTCCCCACCAGAGGGTAGAGGTCACTCACAGGCATACAGCAGGCACTCAACACTGTTGGGAAATAATCAATTGTGGGACTGGGTCTCCCACCTGTGGAGTGTTGGGGTAGACAGAACGGCCGCCAAGGCCAATTGTGTCTTAAAGCCCTTTGCGTTCAGTGACCATGGGGCTAAGATTCTGGCCGTGGGTGTGCACAGGCTAGCGGGGGAGTGGAGGAGCTGCTTTGGCTCTGGCCTGCCTCGTGGCCACACCGGGGCATGATAGGCGTCGGGCTGAGCCTTCCCAGGCCCTGGAACATGCCCACCCGCCAGGTGCTTTCAGCCCCTTACAGAGCAGCCACCTGAGCCCAGAGCTGGGGGAGGCGGAGAAGGTCCTCACCAAGACTTCTGGCAGCAGGGCTGCTGCCCGAGCCTCGGAACATGCCTGGGGGAGGCGGGGGCGGGTGGGAGAGCCGGACCTGGTCCAGTAAAAGAAATCCTCTCAAAAAAAAAAAAAAAAAAAAAAAGAAATCCTCTCAGTGCCTTTCAAGTGGCCGTCAAAGCACTTTGCACACAGAGCCTCCCAATCACCGCGGAGGAAGCGGCCCAGGCCCAGAGCAGCACCCCCTGGGCCCCCCGCCCCTCCCCCGGCACCGCAGATTCCTTCGGCCTGCTCTGGGGCCTGCTCTAGGCCCCACCATCGTCGTCCGCCAGCACTTCCACGTTCTGGTAGGACTTCCAGGCCTGCAGGTTGCAGCTCTTCAGGATGGCTCCCAGCTGCTTCCCAGGTCCGACTTCAAAAGTCTTGGGGAACTCGACGCCCTTCTTCCTCTCGTATATGGCATGCATCGTCTGCTCCCACTTCACCGGGGAGACCACCTGCTGCACCAGCAAGTTCTGGATGTGTTTCGGATGCATGTATCTCTTCCCATCGACGTTTGAGTGGACGGAAACCAGAGGCTTCTTGACACCAACCGACTTTAGGACTTGGGTCAGGGGCTCCAGGGCTGGCTCCATGAGGCGCGTATGGAACCCACCGCTGACGGGCAGCATCTTGGTGCGCCTGAAGTGATACTTAGAGGAATTCTTCTGGAGGAACTGCAGTGCCTGGGAGAAGAAAGAAGTTTAAGCCAAGGACATCTTAGGGGAGGCACCTTAGGCAAGGCGGCCACCGCTGGCACCAGCTCGGTCCTGTGGATAGAAGACGCTCCGACCCATCTGCCCATTTCATCCTGCAAACAGCCGCGAGGACTGGCTCACTTCACCTCTTTGTTCAGAACACATCAGTTGTGTACTCAGCGGCCCCGAAGTCCTCCCCTGGCCCCGAAGTCCTCAACCCCTATGACCATTCCCACCCCCCAGCTGGGCAGGTGGCCAGAGAGAGATGGAGGCCGGGAAGCCTGGTCCACCCCAGCGCCTCATGCAGCAGCCCGGGCGCCTGGGGCAAACCACTCAACCTCTGAACTCTTGTCATCCGCAAAGTGGGGACAACTTCAGCTGCTTCACGAGGTTGCTGGGACGCGGTCAGGCAAGAGGTGTGAGAGGGTCGGATAAAGGAGAACACGCTACCTAGTGTTAGTCTTCAATTATAGGCCCGTTTTCTTATTGCTCCATAACCCTCAAGAACTCAGGAGACTCCAGGCGTCATTTCTATCAGAACCCCCTCGTCTTGACTTCTCGAGAAGTCAAGAGCTCTGTCCCTGAAGCCAAAACCCTTCCCCTGAAGGGCATCTCAGCCCAGAAAGGGCCTCCCAGCTAACAGGCCCCACCTCAGAGCTGTTTGCAAATAACATAATTTGCAAATATTTTAAAAATAGTAGACATTTTCAGAGACCATACGGCCTCAGGACACAGCCAGGCCTGCCCCCCTGCCAGCCCTCCACCAGCTCTGCCCGAGGGCTTCCCCTGCACTACATGGTCTGTCTGCCCGTCTCTGGCCCCGTCTCTGGCCCGCCACCATTCACAGCCACGCAGAGGCTGAGCCTGCTGTTCCCTAGAAGATGGAGGGTGAGCTTAGGTCCCAGCAGCTGCATGACCTTGGACGAGCCTGTCTCCCTCTGTCTCACCTCTGGGCCTCAGTTCCCTCATCTATAAAAGGTGGACAACAGTTAACTCAGGCTATGGAGGAGAACTCCGCCTGGCACACAGGCACTACGTGAGGGTCAGCAATGACCTCATATGCCGAGCCCAGCCACGTACACTAAAAGACCTGTAACCTGGGACGCCTGGGTGGACCAGTGGGTGAGTGTCTGCCTTTGGCTCAGGGCCTGACCCTGGGGTTCTGGGATCAAGTCCCGCATCGGGGTTCCCGCAGGGAGCCTGCTCCTCTCTCTGCATGTGTCTCTGCATCTCTCTCTCTCTCTGTGTCTCTCATGAATAAATAAATAAAATCTTTAAAAAGTGATAAAATAAAAAACCTGTAACAGGTTAGCTATTTGTGTCCCCAAAGGGTAGGAAGGATTCCTACTTTTGGTCAGATGGCACCTGTCGCCCATCTCTGTGGCCCGTCCCTGCAGGTGGACAGATCCACCCGGGCATCACCAACGCAGCCCGTGGCTCACCACGTCTTACCATCCTGAGCCATGAGTCTGTCGGCGTCCCACACAGGCTGCTGCAGTGGCCTGAGCAAAGTGGAGCAGAGCTCAGCACAGGGAAGCAAAGTGTGACGGCAGTGTGACCCACTACTGTGGGAAGCACAGAGGGGTCTGGGCCGCCTGTCACTGCAGCAGAGTCCAGTCTGTCCTGATGCTTCACATCACCACCACCCTCCCTCCATCCCCATCTCACTGAGGGGCACCAAGGAGCCCCTCTGATCACAGGCCTTTCACACCCTCCCCACCATGACTGGACTGTCTGGTCAGCGGCACCTGCATGGGTGGCTACTCGGTGGCACTTCCAGCATCATTTCAGCATCTCAGAGTCAGTTTTCGTCCCAGGCTGGGGCCACAGGAGCCCAGCCAACAGCCTCAGGGTGTGGGCGGCTGGCCCTCAGCCCAGGCTCTGGTTTAGCAGAAGCCAAGGGGTTTATGTCACATCAGCTGTTGCAAAGGGACTGTCCTGCTCCGGGAAGGCCGTGCCCTCACCTGAGCTCTTTGCCTTGGCACTTCCAACTGCACCAGAAGGCTAACCCCCCTGGGAATCCCAGCAGTCGTCATCCTGTATACCTGTCTGAGAGCTGTGTGGGGAGATGCCTGCCCTGGTTTGGGGCCCCTCCCCACTCACTTCTGGGCTGTTCCAAGGCTGTTAATGGGAACGAGCAACCAGCAATACGATCAACATGGGGCCACTGTCACTGATCTTCCTATCTTCTCAGAACTGTCACAGGAGAGACTCACTGGTTCAGGGGAGATTCACATAGACCCCTGGCATACTGGCAAGGCCTCACAGGGGATGATAGGCTGAGAGCAGCTGAGTGGAGACAGAAGGTTCTAGAATGAGACAGGCCAGGCCGCCAGGCCACCTCCACATCTCTAAGCACTGGCCTCTCACTCTTCCTCAGCTTCCTTGTGTGTAAAATGTGGGTAAGACTCCCTTCTGGGGAGCACAGGCTGGCTGCAAGGCCTAGGTGACATGAGCTGCGCAGACGCTGGCCCTGCACCAGCAGCCCCTCAGGCGAGACCCTGCGTGGACCTGCTTGCCACTATGGGGCCGTGGCCTCGGTACAGACCTGCCCTCTTCCATTGGCCGCTCACTGCCTCTCTCCTGGGGATGTCCTCTTCCTGGCGGACTTACCTCCAAGCACCACTCTTGGTGCTGCATCCTCAGGCCTTCTGGCAGCCAGCCCAACCCTTACTGTGCCCCCAAACCCATGGTCCCTGTTCCCAGCTTATCAGACCATGTGCCCTCAGTGCTGGTTACAGAGGAACTGCTTCAGAAACATCTAGGGAAGCAGTGAATGGAAGGAAGGACAGAAGGAAAGGGGTAAAAACAGACACCTAAGAAAAGGCACAGTGGTGTGGGACAACCTAGCAGGAATGGCTTCTTCTCTTGCTAAAGAGGTGACCAGATCAGAGGTTGTGAGAACCCCAGAATTTACTACAGGAAGGCCCTGGGGATCATCTGGCCCAACACCTTTACCTTCAAGAGGACGAGGGGACTTGCCCAGGTCCTTGTCTATGCAACGTGGAGTGAGACCGGATCCCGGCCTCCTGCCACCCCACCCCTCCCACCCCTGCTCAAATACTTCCTCCCAAAGATCACAGCTTGGCAGAGCACCCATCACCCCCTCCCCTCCCCCGAGTGTGGGTGGGACAATTCAACCCTCCGTACTGCCCTGGTTGTCTCGGAAGGCTGTTCCCATTGGCACCAACCTCCAGGTGTCCTGAGATCACCCTGCAATCAGGAAAGAGGTAGTTGGCCACCTCACACACGGGGTCCGCTATGCCCAAAGTCTTGCAGTGCTCCTGGGCTTCCAAACAGGCGAAGCTGAACTTGGACTGGGGCTTGCCAAGGACAGACAGCATCCCGCTGGGGACAGCTTCCGAGGCTGCCTGCATGGCCTCCGCTCGGATTTTCACCGCATACAGACCTATCCAGAGAGAAGCACATTTGGAAAAATCAGGGCACGGAACAAAGGAGGGAAGCCTGGAGCTGAAAGACAAAGCACAAGCTCTGCGCTGCACGCTGGAGACGCGGACACTGGGGTTTGTCACCAGTCCACAATGCCACGGTTCTTCCGTTCTTCACAACTCCATCTAGCACATGGGGATGGCGCCACCATCCTGAGAAAGGGGGCGCTGTCCTTGGCGCTCTACACACGAAACCGTGGAGCTCCCAGCCTTAAAGCCGGCTTGATAGAGGCTGGTGGTTCTTTTTTTTTTTTTTTTTTAGGCTGGTGGTTCTTAACTGGAGTGCTTTAGTGTCTGGAGACACTTCTGACGGACTGTCGCCAATAGCGAAGCCTGTGCACGTGTGGGGAGGGGTGCTCGCTACTGACATCTGGTGGTAGACGTCAGGGCCGCTGCTCCACATCCCACAATGCACAGCTCCACCCAAAACAAGTTACTGCCTGGTCCAAAATGTCAACAGTGCTGCAGTTGAGAAACCCTGGGGCAGGGAGCAGGGTGCCAAGGAGCAGACCTTGAGCCATACTGTTTTGGGCAAGTCATGACCTTTCGGGTCAAATTTTCAGTTAATAAAATGAGAATATCTAATCTGCCTAGATTGTTGTAAAAACTGGGAATCAGTTTCAGTAACATAGGATTCTCATAAATCAAGTTTTACTGCCCCTACCTGGAGCTGTAGAAGCCGACACTGCCAAGGCAGATGAACGGAAATGCAGAGCTCCTGGCTCAGTGCAGCTCAAGTGTCAGGTGAAAAGCCTGGGCTGTGCCCAGGGAAGGTGGCTCCAGTGACTGTGACATAAGAATGGCCTGTAATGACTGGACATCCGTCATCCTGGTCCTGGGTCCTCTCCCTGGGGGAGGGGATGAGTGGACTGAGGACAAGTTAAAGAGCCAGTCCAGGGTTTCCTGGGACCACAGGGAAGGTCTGAGGAGCACACCCTGCACCCTTCCTAATACATCTTCCTTCACTCTGCATGTCCATACAGTTGTACTGGACTGTGGGGCCCTCACCCAGGTAGGGAGCAAACTTTGGAGCAAATCCACTGAGAGCCTGAGGTAGGAAGTAGCAAAGAACACAGGGAAAAAGTGGAGAGGGCACGTGAAGTCTTCCCATGCAGGCGTTAACTACGCAAAATGTCAAGTGAAAAAACACAGGATATACATCTGCAATAACTGCAAATTATGTGCACAGAAAACTCTATGTATATAAAAGTTTTACTAGGAGGTGTGAATATGCAGCATTTTTTAGTTGTTTCCTTACCAGTGCTATAATGCTGTTTTCCAAAACCCTGAAGTAAAAGTCATAAAATAGAATGAGTTTTAAGTCTATGGCTCAGTGGTACTTGTATTCATAATGTGCAGCCTCCAGCTCATTCTAGTTTCAAAACTTTCCATCCCTCCATAAAATACCCCATATCCATGAAGTAACCACTCCCATTTCTCCTTTCCTCTGCCCTCCGCCCCCATAATCTCTAATCTGTTGTCTCTGTGGATTTGCATATTCTGGACATTTCATATAAAAGGGACAGCTTCTTTCACTGAGCATGCTTTTGAGGCTCATCCATGTTGTAACATGTATCAGCACTTTATTCCTTATTATGGCTGAAGAATATTCCATTGCATGGACAGAGTGCAATTTGCTTACCAACTCATCTGATGAGGGACATTTGGATTGTTTCCATCTTTGGGCTATTTTGAATAATGTTGTTATGAACTTTTGTGTGCAGGTTTTTTTTGTGTCAAAATATGTTTTCATTTTTTAGGTATATACCTGCAGACAGAACCACTGGGCCATACGGTAATTCTATGTGTAACTTCTTGTGGAACCATTAAACTGGTTTCCACAGCGGCCGCACCATTTTACATTCTCGCCAGCCAAGTCTGAGGGTCCTATTTTTTCAAATTCTTGCCAACACTTACTAATTTAAAGTTTTTTATTATTATTATATATTTTTAAAAATATTTGAGATATATATATATATATATATACATATATATATATATATATATATATATATATATATATATATATAGAGAGAGAGAGAGAGAGAGAGAGAGGAAGAGAGAGAGAGAGAGAGAGAGCGCCTGAACAGGGGGAATGGCAGAGGGAGGAGAGACTCCCACTGAGCAGGGAGCCCTGTGATGCAGGACTTGATCCCAAGACCCTGGGACCATGACATAAGCCGAAGACAGATGCTTAACTGACAGAGCCACTCAGGTGCTCCATTATATTTAGCTGAAGCCATCCTATTGGGAATCAGGTGGTACCTCAGTGTGGTTTTTTTTTGTTTTGTTTTTTTTTTTAAGATTTTTAATTTATTTATTCAGAGAGAGAGAGAGAGGCAGAGGGAGAAGCAGGTTCCATGCAGGGAGCCTGACATGGGACTCGATCCCGGTCTCCAAGATCACACCCCGGGCTGCAGGCAGCACTAAACCGCTGCGCCACCGGGGCTGCCACACAGTGTGGTTTTGATTTGCACATCCCTAAGGATTAGTGATATTGAACATCTTTTCACATGCCTGTTGGCCATCTGTACATCTTCTTTAGAGAAAGGTCTGTTCACATCCTTTGCCCATATTTAACTATAAGCAAAACAGTTTAACTGGTTTCACTAAGGAGCAAACATCTTGAGCGAAACTGATATGCTCAAGATCAAACATTCATTTACTTTTTCATTCCGTGACCATCTGCAGGCCTTCGATAGGGTCACAGGCACTGGTGGTGTGGGAGTGGACTGAGGCACCCAGGACAGTGTGGGAGACAGTTAGGCAAGCAAAGTTCAGGAGATTACAAAAAGAAAGAAAATCTTCAATGAACCCATCAGGCTTTAAAGGGAATAAAAAAAAAAAAAAAGAACAAAAAAAAAAAAAATAAAGGGAATCAAGGTGAAGTCTGGTCTTCAGGTTCCAATGTCATTCTCATCCATGTGCTCCCTTCTCTATCACCCAGGTGGCTCCAAGAATTATTTTTGAGTGTCCTTGGTCCCCAGTGAGCCCAGCAAGAGAACACCCTGGCACAAAACCAAACCCCTTCCTGTGTACCTTCAGTAAATTCCATGGCTCCAGCAAACACTAGGGCTGCAAATTCTCCCACACTGAATCCGGCAGCAGCAACACAGTTCTCAATAACCTGTGGTGACAGATGCGGGACATGAGACCAAGTTCTTTAGGGGATGGGTGGGGTGTTCGGTCCCAGGTTCTGCACCTGAGAGCTGACAGGGTGTTCAAAGGCTCAAGGAACCAGGAGCCACTGGCCTGGAGCTCCGGCTAGAAGAGGACACACAGCGGCGCCTGGGAGGCTCAGTCGGTTGGGTCTGCTTTTGGCTCAGGTCATGATCTCGGGGTCCTGAGATGGAGCCCGGTGACAGGGTCCCTGCTCAGCAGGGCATCTGCTTCTTCCTCTCCTCCTCCCCCTGCCACTCCTGCTCTGTGTCTCTCAAATAAATATATATAAAATTTTTGGGCAGTCCGGGTGGCTCAGCGGTTTAGCGCGGCTTTGGCCCAGGGCATGATCCTGGGGACCCGGGATCGAGTTCCGCATCGGGCTCCCTGCAGGGAGCCTGCTTCTCCCTCTGCCTGTGTCCCTGCCTCTGTCTCTCTCTGTGTGTCTGTCATGAATAAATAAATAAAATCTTAAAAAAATTAAATAAAAATGAATGACCTTTAAAAAATAAGCCAAATCAGGGCACCCGCGTGGCTCAGTTGTGGAGCGTCTGCCTTTGGCTCAGGGCGTGATCCCGGGGTCCTGGGATCGAGTCCTGCAGGGGCTCCCCGCGGGGAGCCTGCTTCTCCCTCTCTCATGAATGAATGAAATCTCTAAAAATAATATAAATCAAAGCTGAGCCCAGCCCTGGGCTGCCCAGCCCCTCCCCCGACACGCAGGCTTCGTAGCGCCGCATCCCCACCTCCCCCGCCACCCCCGCACAGTGCGAACCGCGACGCCTCGCCCGAGGCGATGCACCTGGAGCCCCGGGCCCCGCCCATCCCGCCCGCGGGCCGCGGGCCGCCGGGCCTCACCGCGGGCTGCAGGTGCTGCAGCTTCTCCACGGCGGCAAGCGAGGCCACGAAGACCGCGGGCTGGCAGTGCGCGGTGCGGTCCAGGGCCTCCTGCGGCCCGTGCAGGCTCAGCTCCAGCAGGTCGTAGCCCAGCACGCTGCGGGCGGCGGCGTAGAGCTCGCGGGCGCGCGGGAAGCGGAGCAGCCCCCGGCCCATGCCCACCAGCTGGCTGCCCTGGCCCGGGAAGAGCAGCACCGAGCACTGGCCCGGCGGCCGCCGCGCCTCCGCCGCCCGCGGCCTTTCCTCCGCGACCGTGGCGTCTCGCAGCAGCTCCGCCACGTCCACGGCGCGCGGCGGGGGCCGCGGGAGGTCCGAGGCGCCGCGGCGGCAGCCGGCGCCCCAGCCCCGAGCCCACGCGGCCCGCGCGCCCCGCAGGCTCATGGTGAGGCCGCCGCCGGCCGCGCGTTACCGGGGCGACCGAGGCGCAGGGCGCGGTCCCTCACGCATTTCCCGCCGGGCGGGCCGCCCCCGGGGGCGGGGAGAAAGGTTCCGCGGGGACGGGTTCCGCCCGGGCTCCGGGAGCTCGCGCGCCTGCGCGGCGGGGCCGGGAGCGACCCGGGCGCTTGCGGAGCCCCCGCGGCCGCTAGCCCGCGACCTTGGTGACAACGCAGCGTAGACGTCGTTGTGCCTCGCGGGTGCGGGGGCTTGGGACGTCCCCACGTCGTTTCTGTTTGATTTCTCAGCCCAGGCGCGGTGCAGGGAGCAACAGTCGTGCCTCCAAACCAGACAGGCAGGCGCACAGAAGCGTCCGATTACTATCAGCTCCCTTGACTGGATCAAAGCCTTGGATGTGCTTCAGACCTTGGCTTGTTTGATTCCTCACGACCGCGCTGTCACGGCCAGGGGCTGCTACCCTCCATCCTCCATCCTCCGTCGAAGGCTCCAAGGCTTGAGCGACAGGTGGTCCGAGACAGAAGGGGAGTGGGATGCCTCTGAGCGCTGGGGTGAGGCCGGGCCAGGGCCTGACTTCACCCGCACTTGCCCTCTGCTCCTGTCTCGTGTCCTGCCAGGCGCCCAGGAGACAGACACACAGACCTCCCCCCCCCCCCGCCCCATGAGAAAGATCTAGGTGGAATTACATCAGCAAGTCTACTTCAGTGAGTTTGTCCTGAGAATCGAATGAGCAAAGCCCAAACTCAGAGCATCTAAGGCAGCCTTGCTTGTGACAGACAGACAGACAGACAGAAAAGAAAAGAAAAGAAAAAAAAGAAAGGAAAAGAAGCCATATAGTCAACTAGAGGAGACTCTTTAAATGGGTTATAGGGCAAATCTGCACAACTCTGTGGTCATCAAAGATATGGAGGAGATTTTCAGGTTAAGACATGAATAGAGCACACATTGCCTCCAGAAGCCCATAAATCCACAAGGACAAGGAGAACAGGAAAGGAAAGAACCCCTGGAAGCCGAAAAGCAGGAAGACCAGTATTACCTGACCTGCCCGGCTGCAGACAGCCAGATCCCTCCCGACAGTGGGGAGAGCTGACCAAGCCTCATTTATACAAAAGCCTCCTCCAAAGCTTAGGACTGGGCAGCATCAACTGCTTGTAGATCTGAGGGTGAAAGAAATTTAAAGAGGACTATTTGAAGGTATCTATTTTTTAAAAGATTTTATTTATTTATTTGAGAGAGAGAGCACATGCAGGGGGAGATGCAGAGAGAGAGAGGGAGAAGCAGACTCCCTGATGATTAGAGAGCTGGACTCGGGGTTCAGTCCCATGACCCAGGGATCATGACCTGAGCTGAAGGCAGATGTTTAACCGACTGAGCCACCCAGGTGCCCCCAAAAAAGGACATTTAGAAAACAAATAAGAACACCTTGGAAGGGGATCCCTGGGTGGCGCAGCGGTTTGGTGCCTGCCTTAGGCCCAGGGGGCGATCCTGGAGACCCGGGATCAAATCCCACATCCGGCTCCTGGTGCATGGAGCCTGCTTCTCCCTCTGCCTATGTCTCTGCCTCTCTCTCTCTCTGTGACTATCATAAATAAATAAAAATTAAAAAAAGAACACCTTGGAAATTAAAAATAGGATAGCAGTGGGGTGCCTCGGTGGCTTAGTATGTTAACTGTCTGCCTTCAGCTCAGGGCATCATCCCAGGGTCTTGGGATTGAACCCTGCATCAGGCTCCCCAGTCAGTGAGGAGCCTGCTTCTCCCTCTCCCTCTGCCCTTTTCTTCTGTTCGTGCTCTCTTTCTCTCTCAAATAAATAAGTAAGTAAATACAATTTTAAAAATAGGATAGCAGAATTGAAAACCTCAACAGAAGGCCAGGAAGGAAAAGTTGAGGGTAAAGCAAAAACAAAAACAACCCAACCAAAACAAAACAAAAAAATCCCTCCCCAAAACCAAAAACTAAACCAAAACAAAATCCCATGACAAATAGGAGAGAAAAGGAAGTTAGAAGACCAGCCTAGAAGGTCCAGGATGATGAGTAAAAGGGGTTTCAGAATGAGAAGTGAGAAAACAGAAGGAAGGAAATCATTCAAAAAAAATGCAATTTCTGAAAAATAAAGGATATGAGTTTCCCCACATGGAAAGGGCCCCCTGAGTACTGGCACGGTGGATGAAATTAGACCCACAAAGAGGACTACCAGGGTGACGTTCCGGAACTCTAGTGACAAAATAGGGCTCAAGACTCTGAATGGCTTCAGCCTGCCTGTGAGCATTGTGGCAGCCGGGCTTCACGATGTGGCTTCATGATGCATGAAGACAAGAGTCTCCAACTTTGAATTCTTACTCAACCAAGCATCAGTCAACCATGAGATAGAATGCAAGATTTCAGAATGTTACCTCCTTGCAGTCTTTCTCAAGAACTCCTGGAGGATGGGCTCATCACAAACATGGGGTGGACAGTCTAGGAAGTGAGGAGCCAGCCAGCAGAGGGGCAACGGCATCCCTGGGGTGGTGGTAAGAAGAGACCCCGGAATGGTGTGTGCACTTCCCTACCGGGGCTGTCATCCCCAATATCCTACCGGTTTCTTTACTGCTTATTATACGAACAGAATCCCCAGTGAGCCGGGCCCAGATTCCTGTCAGCCACTTGACCAGTCTTGATCACGGCCTGATGAGACCCTGTCCATGCCCTGCTGCCTGGCTCAGCTGAGGATACCTGTTCCAGCTCACAGAAGTGTGCACCCCTGCACCCCTACTCTGGAAATCTGAATACAGGTGCAGTCAGCTCAGAAGCAAGGAGGCAGAGGGACGCCTGGGTGGCTCAGTGGTTGAGTGTCTGCCTTCGGCTCAGGGCGTGATCCTGGGGTCCTGGGATCGAGTCCTGCATGGAGCCCACTTCTCCCTTTGCCTATGTCTCTCATGAATAAATAAATAAAGTCTAAAAAAAAAAAAAAAAGAAGAAGCAAGGAGGCAGAAATGCCCAAGCTTCTGACTGTTTGGGGCTGAAGTTTCTTTTTATTATTATTTTAAAGTGTACACCGGTTTTAAGTACATCTCTGTATGCAACATTTCACAATTAAGAAAACCAATGTAGGGGGGTGGGTGGCTCAGCGGTTTGGCGCCTGCCTTTGGCCCAGGGCGCGATCCTGGAGTCCCGGGATCAAGTCCCATGTCAGGCTCCTGGCATGGAGCTGCTTCTTCCTCCTCCTGTGTCTCTGCCTCTCTCTCTCTCGCTGTGTCTATCATAAATAAATAAATCTTTAAAAAATCTTAAAAAAACAATGTAGACAAATGTTTATTAATGTAGAAAGAGGTGTCCGATTTATTGTAAGAGGAAGAAAAATTATAAAACCACTGGTAGCATGAAGGCATTCTTGTAAAAGGAAGGTATGATACGCTTTGAAAAAAAGTCATGGAAACACTGAAGTGTTGACAGTGCTTTGCTCTAGGCGATGGGAAAGTAGGTGGTTTTATTTTTTTCCTTCGTGTTTTCCAGTTCCTTTGCAATAAAAGTGGATTACTCATGTAATAAAGGAAACACATAAATAAAATACAAGGATATACTGGGTTGAGTCACACTTGGAATTGGGAAGCTGAATGACACACGGGTTAAGGGTGCACATCCTCAGGGCCTCTGGGTGGGAATCCTGACTCCACCGCTGTCCAGCTGTGTGACCTTGAGATATTCCCTCACCGCTCTGAGCCTGTGAGGTGGGGTTAATCCTCTGGGGCTTGGGAGGGTGTCTCCAGTCCTCCTTCCTGGATCGACTGAGCCCAGAGGTAGGTTTTGCTTGTGTTGAATCCTCTAGGGTTCGGCCCAGAGTTGGGTACCTTGAAGTGCTCCATATACATGCCAGATGCGCAAGAGAAGCTCTGAGCTCGGTGCCGTGAAGCTAAGAAGTCACAGCCCACTTAGAAGGGGGGGGTGGCACAGAGTTGGAGTTCTAGAAGAGCTTGCTGGCATGACACTAGAGAGCAGTCAGACTCGGACACATGGAGATGCCAAGGGTGGGAGGCTGGGAAGTGCCCTAGGCAGGGACACAGGGGTGAGAAAGGGTGGGGTAGTCAGCTTAACCCCAATTTGGCAGGGCCTCCGGTGCCAGGTAAAGGGTTTGGACTGGATCCTAAGCAGCGGGAGGATCCTCAGCAGAGGGGAGGAGTGGAAGGCCCGAGAAGGAAGCTGGGGGCCAGCTAGGGGCTGCAGCTGCTGTCAGAGGAGGGACGTGACTGTTGCTCAGGCTCAGGAGGCAGTCGTGGGATTGGACAGGAGGGAGGCAGAAGTAATGGGAGGCTTCCAGGGACAGCAGGTGCAGCGCCCGCATACAGACTGCAGGGTGAATCCCTCGGGCAGCAACTGGCCCCTGGGAACTGTAGGTAGCATCTGTGAAAAGCTTGTGAGCTTCAGGAGGGTGTGTGTGTGTGTGTGTGTGTGTGTGTGTGTGTGACTGTTCTCAGCCTGTCCCTTTGGCCCTGTCATGCTGCAGATATTTGGGGGCAGAAATCTCTTGAGCCTTGAGCTCCATGTGTAGTAGGGGTGAGGCTAGAGGGAAGCTGCATAGTCTCCTCCAGGGCTGGCTCTTCCGGGGGAGGTGAATGTGTCACTTGGCCAAGCCACAGGCACTTCGTTACAGGAAGAGGGCGAGGGCTGGCAGCTCCCTGGGAGGTGTGGCCCCTTTCTTCCCGAAGGGCAGTCACAGTACCTGGGGCCACAATACTTGAGGGACCCAGGAACACGTCTTAATTTCTTTTAAAATTAGAAGTAAAAGAAGCAATCCAGCCCAGATTATATTTGTTTTTATATCGAAGCAGTGGGAGGAGGGAGGGGCTCACAAAAGCCCACCTGGCAGGAGGGTAGCTCTGATGGGAGGCTCCAAGCTGCGATCATTGGGCAGAAGAAGCTGTAGGTCACCGTTGTCCTCCAAGTACCAAGTTTGGCAACTTGGACTCCTGTAGGCTGAGGGGCCCTGCCTGGCCAAGTCAGCCCGAGGTGGCCAGGACA